GATAAACAGTAATTAAACTAGACTAGAGGAGTATAAAAAAAAACCAGAAAACAAAATCAATTAAAGAAATTAAAGAATGTATGAAAGGCAAACAATGCCTGGTTTAGCTGAAAAGCCACATGATTTTAAGAGGACAAAATTCATATTTCCAACAATAGGGACAGCCACAAATCCAAAGTAGGTATTGTATGAGAAACCAGAACCCTTATACTCTTGGAGAAACTGAATCATTGAGTAGGCAAGAAATACTTGCTCTTGAAGCATTTCCAGTTTTTAACTCCAACAGCCCTGAACTAGGGGAGTGCTAGGATATCAAATTATTTTCCAAAACCACCTGAAAAGAAGCCAGAGACGCTCCAGGATTTATTTTTCCTTGAAGAGCTTAATATCTTCACTACACCAAAAGTACATTGCTTCTAGCCTCAACAGGGAGTGTTCCGCCAAGACGGCAGGAAAGTAAAAAAACCCCAGAACACAGAATATTACACTCAATTAATTACATTCTTAATTGCTCTCTTCTTTTAACAGCCTAATGAATAGAGCAAGTTTCAGTTTCAGTATGTTCATGTAGCCGAAAGTTTCAAGTCCAATAAATGAGACAGGACTGATTTGCAACATCTGTGCTAAGATCAGACAAGTTTGTGTAACCAGAAGTAAACACTAAGAGTAAAACCCAGGCCCATTGCTCTCCACCCAGAGCACCTTCTGTACAACCTTCAAACAGAACCTTGCATGTTATGGAACATGACAGCCTCAATTAAGCTTAAAGAGAATCTGACTCATCTTAGATCCCAGGTCAGGGGACCACCATGTGTCAATGGAACTTGTGCTCTCTTCACTTCTTTGGCCAGGACCTGCTTGCACTATTGAATCAACTTATGTTTCTGAGTCAGTAGTCTAAAAACTATCCCAAGGCACACACAACTCATTTCAACCTTCTTGAGGCACACATCAAAGTGATGAACCAGGAAGCCAGCTGGCAAGAAGCAGGTTCCAAGTGTTTGCATAAACTGCAAGTTAGCTATTAAACTAATGGCAAACAGCCCAATTCCAGTCAGGAATTCAGAGGCACTTGCCCTCATTAAATCCCAGCAAAATAAAACAAAAACAAAGTCTCTAAGCTAAGCCACTAATGTTGCCTATGTAATACAAGCATTTCATTTCAAGGGTCAGATTCAATTTGCTTTTTGGTCACTCTGTACTGTGTACCTATATAAGGTATCTTGCCATTGAAAATCAAACCTGCCTGTCCTTTCTAGAAAACAAAAAAAATCACCTTGTACTTCCTCTACTTACAGCTTTGCACACAAAAGAAAAAACTGCAGTGATTTTTTACTTCTTTATAAGAAATGCAATGTTCTCAGACATTCCTAGTCTCAGCTGTCATACCCACTCTGATGAAACTTCTGCAGGAAAAGCTGATGCATGCCATTTCTATTACAAGCAATATTATGATACTCACTGTCAAAACTCTTATAATCCTGAAGTTAAGAGTAATTTTTTGGGTTTGAAATGGAAATTTAGCTTTGCCGTTCACAATGGAGAGAACGGGCACACGTACACAGATAATTCAGTCAGACATGAGCTCAGCCAGAGCACATTCCAAGCTGGCCGGACACGAGCCAGCTCCAGTTCACCAGTCATGAGCTGTGCTAGCACAGCACTGTGCCCACACCAATAAAACCTGCTGAGAGGCTGGGCATGCTGGGCTGGGCACAGTCCTGCACTGTCTGGCCAACTCCAATCATGGACAGCGGATGCTGGGTCTGTCTGCATCCATCTATGCACACACTGCTCTGCAAGTCCCACTGCTGTGAATTCTTTTCTCCTTACAGAGAGCACAGCACCATACATTTGGGATTTGAAGTATCCTCCTTGATCACAGCCATGGCAATTCCTTATAGCTGTTCCAATGAGCATTTAAAACAAGAGAATAATTATTAGCACTATAGGCCAATGACAGGCACAGGCAATTAAATGGATTTTATTTACACAACTGTCCTTTGCACTTAGTAGCATTTCTCCTAGGCATCTATTCTGTTGCAGAAATCAACAAGACTCGTAACTCAGTTCCTGTCAACATCTCAAAGACAAAAGACACATTTTTGGTACTATTCAAGTCTACCTTAAAGAGAAAATTAAGTTACTCATTTAAAAAATTGTGAATCCTAGTTCTTAGGAAAAGATAGAAAATGACACCATGAAAAGAGATTAAGTAATACAGTTCTTCAAAGTTTTGCTCCAAAGACCCACGTAACTAAACTTAACTCTGCCTGTGCAAAAAAATTAGTAAGTCTTCCAAGGATGGAAAAAACACATGTATTAATCATCTACTGACAGAGAAACCAAAGGACAGGTGTGCTACTCTGAGCTCAAATAACTAGTCTGGAAGATCAAGGAATAAAACTGTAACATGAACGTGTTAATAACATTAAGTTTTCCTTAATAAAAAAAGCCCTGGAGCAGTTGAAGGCTGACACAAGTCCTCCATTTCAGATTTTCATCATTTAAAAGGTAGATTAAAAAATAAACAAAACAGCCAAGAAACACAGATTTGGTGAGCTACATACTTGATTTTTAGGAAATGTAGTAAAACACCGTTCAATTATGCAACACTAGCTGTACCAGCCCCTCCTGTCTTGCCTATAAAATGGCACAGGGTAAAAAAAATCAGACCAGAGTGTGAGATTTCTGTCTCTATTTCAAAGTAACTTCTCACTACTATTTACCTTTTCTATTGTCTAAAGTAAGTATTACATGTTTTGAAATGAACTACAAATTGTCAACTAAAAAAGTAACAACAGTATTTCAGGTATGTTCAACAGCCTTCAAACTCAAAGCCATTGACATAAACTGGAGAAGTTTAGCTTATTTGAAAAGCAAATTTAAACTGGCCAGTAGCCTTTAAAATAAATTTTAAATTTTCTTGTATACATCAATATTTCAAATATAGAACTCATATTTGGATTTATGCTTTTTATTCATCATTTGGGTCCATCTGTATACTCATGACACTGTGAGTGTAAAAACCATAAAAAGATACCATCCAAACAAGTTTAGGCAGACTCAGGTAACAAAAATCAGGGGATGGTCACACAGGAAGATGGTTTAGGGCAAAATTTATGTTAATCTTCACTGGAATAACGTACATGCTGCAAAAATACTAGATATTATCAGTCAGTATTCAAGTTTGCAATATTGTCTCTAGGTATGATCTGAGATCTAATACAGAGTGCTTATAATTCTTAACTAAAAATTGCTTGTCTGACTTCAGAAACACAAATTTAGTACTCACAGAGGATTCTGTGGGAGATTTTTGAGAGAGCGAAAAGTAAATATTTTTCATTTTGATTTACAATTTGTGCAAGAATACTCAAAAATAATGCTAGCTTGAACAAGTTCTAACAAACATTCATCACTAGTGACAATCAAGACAATGAAATAACTTTTTGGCTAAGTTGGATGTGAACTGCTCATGTACTATAGCTGTCAGGTTCATGTATCATGCACACCTGCATAAAACAATCTCAGTGCACAATTTTCAGAGGGAAGCTGAACCTTACCTTTAGTGACAGAAGGAATGCTTTTTTGCATCTGGATTATTTAAATTGACTAACTAGTCCATTCCAGTTTTAAAAACTCATCAGATTTCAAAAAGAAGTGAGTTTGTGTTCCCTAATGCATTAATTAAAAGAGATGATAGAGAAAAAAAAATGCTTGGAGAGCTACTCTCTCAACCTTACAAAGGACAAGGTAAATGGAAAGAAAGTGTTCATCTTCTAAATACAGTTAATATTTTGTCATAGATAAAAAAAATATTTGTTGTCTCCCTTTGTTACTCAAAGCATGGAACACTGCATGGAACAAAATGTGAGTTGGGTAGAGCTGAATTACAGAAACAGGCAATTCACATCTAAAGAACCGCCTGACATACCTCATGTATAAAATGCCACATCTCTTTAAATGCAAAAACCTAATAATGTAAGTAAATATATCAGACTACAGAATTGTTTAGAGAGGTATACTATTGTGTTTAGATGCACAAATACAACATGTATATATATTCTATTCCACAAAGAGAAATGTAAACTCATAAATCTCTATCCTGAACATAATCAAGATCATACACAGTGGATATGGCAGTGGGGGATGACCAGAAATGAACTGAAAAAGATGAAATGTAAATTAGTTTAAAATCGATTAGCTAAATGAAGACTTTTTGGCTCACTTAAAAAATAGTAAAATATGTATTTCAATATTAATAAACTTTATAGTTTGTCCAAAATTAATTAAGAAGTTATGTATTTTTAGAATCTGGTCAGCTATTCTGCATGTAAAATTTACATAGGTATCCTACTATTTATCTTCTATCAGAACAAGAAAACCTCTAGAGAACACACTGTAGGAACTAAACCAAGAGTGAAATTCAGGTGTAATTTTCTGTACAATTCCCTGACACCAGAAGGCTTGCTGCTAAGTCTCCCTAAAACCAATCTGCAGAGATAAAACATGTAGTTAAACCTACAGTTAAGCCTTTCAAGTGGAAAGCTTATCCTGTGAAAAGCTGCATTTGAAGGGCATTGAGCAGAAGCTACAGTCAAGAGCTGTATCTGAAGTCACACAGTACACTTTGTCAGAACAAAGAATATTTACTGCTATGACTATGCCACTGTACACCACATATTAAAGACACTAATAAAACATTTAACAAAGCAAAATTATTACCTTGAAAAACATAGTTCCTATTTTTCATCAGTTATCAAAAAAAGCTCCACCTGAATTTTCTGCAGCCACTAACCAGTTTTGAAACTGGCAGCAAAAAGCAAATTACAGGTTTTTTAAGTAATTCAACATATTAAATTAATAAATTATAGTTAACCTAAATTTACTTTATTGTGACATCTCAGACAATGTAGATGTGAATTTCAACTGAAATACCTGAATGGCACCAAACAATTGTGTCTTTAGGAGCAGTATCAGCAACAACTTGTAATACTTACTGGTATATAATAGATATTCATTTTAGGGGCTTCATTGGCAGTCATTAGCATTCCTAAAAAGAGATTTCCACATTTAAAAATATTGATTAGAAGAGGATGATACTATTTTTAAAAAAAGCTCATAAAGTACATATTCTTGGCTTGCAATGGACATTAATCAAGATCCGTAATAAACTGTTGCATCAAATACCACAGAAAGAAAGGTGTAATATCAGCCTAATTAACAAAGCTTAATTTTCTATATATTCATTCCCTTTTGTCTTCTATCTTAATTGTTCAGCACCACTTTGCAACCACTAAGCTCTGATAAGTGCAGGCTGCCAACTTTCATAACAAACATGAACAGTTCATCCCTTAATACTGTTTAGAACAAGTCCAGTTAGTATTGCAGTTAAAAACTACATCGGACATAAAAGTGCATTATTAATACATTGGTATTAGAACATGTTGTTATTTGGGTTTTTTTGTACACACACCTCAACAGAGCCATAAATCATAACATGGTTTACACCTTCATTCATATTTCATCTGGGGAAATAAATACAACAGCAGCTTCTCAACCCAAAATGAGATATAGGACACTGTGTCTTCAAAAGAAGTAACACTAATCCTATAACCAAGCAGGGCAAATGTAGAACTTGAAGTATCTATGAATATACCCAAGAAACACCATGAATAAGGGGTTTACATACTCTGAATATAAAAAAAAATACTGTAGGAATACTAAAATCTGTGGAAAATCTCCTACTGCCACAAGACTTCTTGTAAATTCAAAATTAAGAATACTCTTAATTTCATTTCCTTCTACATAAGAGTAATAAGAACATTTGCCATATACTTTTATGTTTGCCTCAATTCAGTCTTTCCAAAGTAGCCGACCAACAGGTAATACAAATTATTGATTATGAAGAAGAAAAGTGCCATCAAATTAGATAACATTCTGATCTGAAAGAACTGTAACATATGCCACTGAGACTATGAATAATTGGGTCAATTACTACACACCCAGAGGGCAGAAATTTAATTTACACCCAAGTAGAGGAATGCAATTACCATGGGTGGAGTAATCCTTCCTACCTAATCCTTTTATTATAAATACACAATGCAGCTGGACTTATAATGTCAGAAAAAAGCGGGCTTGCTTTCCCAGCAAAGCAAAATATTCATGAAAGCTTAGTCAGCAAACAGACCAAAAAAACTGTGTCTGGAAAGGTTTGCAGACAATTTAAGGAAAAAGCAAGAATTTACAGCATATGCTTGAATATACGCACTGAGTACTCCAGTATAGTGTACAAGATACATGCTCCCCTAACAGCACACTCACTACTATTTTATAAGACAAAGCATCTTTCCATTGACTGAATAGGAATCATTAGGAATAAAGACAGAAATTAATTCTGCAGATGCTTCAAAGATGACAAAGATGCCTCCTCTTTGAGAGTTTTCCACCAGTAATCAAAGGAGGACAAAGCCAGACTTCTGAACAGTATATGAGTGTATACTACAAGGGAAATAGAAGAATGAAAGTTAACAACTCTTAAAGGAGAGGTCTATTCCATGCATTTTTATTGCTTTAGCTTGTTAGTTTTAATCAATTTTTATGGGAAGAGAAACCACACCCTAACAAACTACATAACAGCCTAGTTTGATTACTGTAGAAGGGAAATAAAGGAGAGGCTGTTTTCAGAAGTTATACTAAGACTGTCTCTGGAAAATGGTCTGCAATATAGTATCATGAATGTAAAAGAATAAAAATGGGAGTATGAAGTATGCAGGAGCAGCAGTTCTAGAAAATGCACATTTTTACCTTTTAATTTTTCTTACGGTAATTGGACACAGATTTCTATCACTGGAGATACTGTCAAGTTTCATTTATATTCTACAACTTAAATTGACTAAAGGCTAAATGGACTCAGTAAGTAAATCTTTTTCCCCTGCCCCCATTGTGTTCATTTGTGATCAGAGGAAGATATTCAACTATTAAGAGATCCACTGAAATTTGTCATCGTGTAGTTTTCGGTCAAAGATATACAAGGGTTTGCTTCCCAGGAAAGGTACTGATACTGAAGATGGTATAAATGGTAAAATAGTTTAATTAAAAATGCCTAGCTATGACAAAATACCACCAAAAAAACCAGTTCACAGTATACTGATCTTGAGTTTACAGTAACTGATAGAATTACAGAACCATAGAACAGCCTGGTTTGGATGACATTCCCATGGGCTCAATTCCCAAGCTTGTCCAAGTATGCCTGGATGGCATCACATCCTTCAGCCTGGTGTCATCTGCTATTTGCTGAGACAGCTCAATCCCACTGTCTGTGTCACTGATGAAGATATAAATATCTAAATAAAGCTTGTCCCAATACAGAGCCCTAAGGGACACCACCTGTCACTGATTTCCACGTGGACATTGAACTGTTGACCACTACACCTTCTGGATGAGACTATCCAACCAATTCCTCATCCCCTGAATAGTCCATCCATCAAATCCTTATCTCTCCAATAAGAGTGAAAATGGGGTATTTTGCCTTTCTGAGCAGCAGTGACACATGAAGTGCTATAAAACACAAGCTAGGCAAAGATCTCCTGGCTTTCCTGTGCCATGCACCTAGAGGGGCTCTGAGAATGCTGGGGCACCAGTAAGAGCACTGAGCCAAACCACACTGATACTGAAATCATGTTATATTTCCACCTTTCCGCAACTACAAACCCCTTTTACTGAAAGCATTTCCTTATTTTCAGATCTTCAGTCATGATTATTCCTTAAACTCTGAACAAGCATGAGGTGGTTCTAAGGCATATTAAGTGCTGGTCCAACAGTATTTATGATGAACATGCAATGCACCACCTCTTACCCTTGATCTCTCCATTGCAACATGCTCTTGTTTTTACCCCACTGCCTCCATGGGACTATAAAGTACAACCCAGTTTTCTTCCCACAACAGTTCTTACCAAAACCATCAACCTGTCCTCCTGCAGACAATAGGAAAAGCAGCACTACAGAACTGGAGTGCACAATCTAGATCTCAATCACAGACTTGTGAAAAGCAATGTCCAATAGCAACATCAGGGACATGTGTGCATTCAATTCTTTGTGCTACAAGATTTGTCGTGCAAAGTCTCATGAAAATCATTTCTGCAAAAGCACACAAATCATGTCCACATATCACAAAGGCTACAGAGCATCCACAGCTGAGTAATGCCCATCCTCAACATATTCAAACTTGGCTTGACCTGAGCAATCTGATCAGACTTCAAAGCTGGATCTAACTTCAAGTTGGCCCTGCTTTGAGTAGGAAATATACAACTCCCAGGGGTACCTACCAATCTAAATTACACTATGATTCCACATTGACAAATAAATTTTTTCTGTTCCACTCCCTGTGGTGAGCTGTTCATTGATGCTGTGTGGATGTTAATTTGCTGCTGGGCTCTCTTCTAGATGCAACCAATAAGCTCACAAGTGAAACCTGGGTGAAAGGCTGAAAATCAGTCACTCCAACAATCTCTCTCTGCAGCCACCATGGATGAGGGTTTATCCATCTCCAGGGTGCAGAGTCCACCCTGTCACCATGCAGTAATTCTCAAATACACTCACATGAACTCCTACATTCAACCAGCGCACATGGCATGTATTTTGCTCATAAGGTCAAAAATGCCCACCATCTTATCAGGGAAGTGTATCTAACTGCTCATCTTACCCCAAAAAGAAAAAAAAAAAAAAAGAAAAAAAGGAAAAGAAAAACCTCCAATCCATTCTTAACTGAAGTTGGCAGAAAAGACAGATAAGTTTTAACTTGCCAGAAATCTCACGCTCACTTATCTACAATCTTAAATTTGAGCTGCTAGTATGAATCAAAGTCCAAGTTCCTCTGTCTTTACTGCTACCTCTCTCTAAAATTAAGATAATAGCAGTTTGCAACTCAGGCATTGTCTGTTTCCAGACTTTTGCTCTGTGCCATCCTAGCGGCCCTAACTTATTTCATCCTTTTCAGTACTGCTTTCAATAAAGGAAATAGGTATCACACCATACTTAAGAACTAAAGCAACTCATATTAAGTAAGAAAATTAAGTCCAGTTGCAATCTGAAGTACAACCAAAGCATTTATGCACATACAACCATCATTCTGTAAAATATTTTTACTCATAAATTAAAATCCTGGAAACCTTGGTTAAAAGTGATCCTCAGTTTTGATCTCTGAACATAACATTATGAGATGCAACAAATCTGAAAAAAAATCACAAAAACCATGCAAATTTGTGCACTTAGGAATCTACACTTAAAACCAAAGTAATAAACCTAAGGGATAGCACAATTTAAATGCTGTATTTAAATCAAGGAAAGATCAAATTCTTGAAACACTTGAAATAAAAGTGTAAATCTGCTGTAAAGAGGTTTTTCCTATCTCTAGGAAGCAAGCTCTAACTCATCTGGGACTTAGTCAAGACAACAGGCCAAAACTTCTATTCTTATTATAAAATGAGTCACTTCAGATATTTGAAGGAGTAAAAGAGGCCAATCACTCAATTAACAGCACAGCAGCTTCCAACTGCAAAGAGGCTCCTATATAACATAGATGCAGAAAAAACAAGGACACTAACTGACAAATAACCCTTTATTCTAAGTTCTCCCATAAGGAGCAAAGTAGACCTAAATTGTATCACCTAAACAAAGACCACACCTTGCTTTTCCTTTTGAATTTAGCAAGACATTAATATACTTAACATACCTGAATTTGGATAAAGGCAGACATCATTTATATCATGTTCTGGCTCCATTGAAGTAAATATCTTTCCCTGAAATTGCAGGGAGAAAATAAATCATAAAGAACTCCAAACAATATAATTAAATTCAGTAAATCTAAACATTAATAACAACTACTATAGAAGCTAAGAAACATGATGGAATAAAGATGGAACAGATTTTGCAGAACAATAAAATGTTATTAATACCTGAACATAACAAAAGGAAGACAGTATTGTCTTTTATCACTGATTCAATCTCTTACAAGGAAGTGCAGCCTACTGGTAATTGAAGATACAGCAATGTACAGTGGCACCCCTAATTTCTCAGCTTACACTTCTGTTTGAAAATATATGTCAGATTTACTTTATTTTATGCAAAAGTGAGGCTGAGGTCCACAAGTTCTGGGCACACTGTCAGTGTAACCCTTACTTTATTCAACTATGAATGTGGAAGTTTTAAATAATTTTACTTTGCTAAGTATGATTAGCTGAGAAAATGGATTAGGAGTAGAATTTGAATCTGGAGCTTGATTCTTCCACTTGTACTAATGTCTACATGAAATGAAATATAGCTCAGGACTTTATTTATGATTTATAAACTCATTTTTAAAGAGGTCTTGATATAAAACAAAAGCACTAAGAGCATACAGTGGTATATAGCTTAGATAAGAATTGAAGTTAAAAAGGTTACTTAAAAAAGAAGTAAAAGCAGGAAACAATGTTCTCAAAATAATAATGGGAACACAGTCTGAAAAACCCAGACAAAATACAGGTGCTCTTGTAAGCCAACACACAAAACAGCCAGTAAAGGAAGAGTCTCTAACAACTGGACCACATAATCTGAAGCATGAGACTACATGCCTACACAATTCTAAATGAGGGACAGGAACAAGGTAAATTTTGATCCTGTTCCTCTTTTTTTTTTTCTTTCCCTGCAGCGATCCCACCTACCTTTCGGGGCCCTTCTTTTCCCTCCCAGTTACATGCTGTTACCCCACCCACTTCTGGTCTCTCCCTGATGATTAAGAGGAGTCCTCCTCCACCCTGGCCTCAGCAGACAAAAGCCTGGTGCTCCCCACCCCAAGGCACGTCTCAGCATGGGGCCATTCTGGTATCAAAGCCAGATGCTCTCCACCCGCAGTCTGCCTCTGCACTTGGTTCCTGGCCAGAGGTAGTCAGGAACCAGCATCTGGGACAGAAGGAGCCAGCTGGAACATACTCTAGGAAAGAGTCCAAAGCTATCTTTGCCTTCCAGCAGTGAGAAGCCCTCCTCTTTCCCACCAGAGGCCACCTGACAAACTCACAGAGCTTCATTCTCAAAGAGGGAAATATACATACCTAGGAAAAATGGAGAGAGGCCACTGCAGATGTTTTAAATAATAACCAATAATTTATTTGCTCTTTCAAACAGTAACAATTAACTGCAGAGGAGCTTACAAAAAACTACTTGCAATCAGAGAAAAAATAAAAGAGGCTGTTGAAAGTTCATGAGGCAGCACAACAATACTGAAGTGACTGCCTGAAATAATTAGGGAAAAAAGCCTCTACTACAACTCTCTTTATGTTTCACTATAAAGTTAGAAAAGCATAAATGGAGCATGTTTTTCAGAAGAAGCACAATGACTACAGACATCCCCTCAAACCAAAACAAGTTACAATAGTGTTACTATGAATCTCTGGGGCGACAAAACATGCTGCCCCTTAGAGTCATAGTAAGGTTCATTGACAGAGAGATAAGAAAGAGGACAGCATTATATAATGAAAAGAGTGAAAGACAGTGAAAGAGTGAAAATTAGAACTTACAATTTCACTTAGAGGCGCAAAGGGCAAGGATAAAGACATTGCCCATTGCAATATAATCCCCTAACACAGTGTTATTAAGACACACTGCTATTTGGCTCCCTGCATAGTATCTGCTTCAGTATCCAAATGGGATCCCGTGAAAATAAGCAGTAACTGATTTTAGTAGGTCTTTAACTAACTGATCTCCCTTTGAAATTAACCCTACTTTGAGCGGGGAATTGGAATGAACATGTTTTCTCTGGTGAAAAAACCTAACTGGATGGATTCAAGAACATAGTGAGAAATATACAAACCAAGGCAATGGCTAAGATACTACTTTTTATGTTTAAAATCTTCTGCTGAAAGAAGCCTCTTGGCCAGACATGTACAAACAGCTAAAAACCCCCTGAGACTACATCTTTATACCTGACAGGCTATTGAATAACTTCCCAGATGCTGATTTACTCAGACAGGACAAAATGCTATGTAAATTAAGAGACATTAAAACCTCAACTTCTTACACTGAATTTCAGCTTAATTAATTAAGCTGCACAAAAAACACTCAAAAACAAGCCAAAATAAAATCCCCCAAAACTCCCAACCCAAATAAAGTAAAATTTAAAAAATCTGAATGCAGTAACATAAAACTACTTACTGTATCTTTGTTCCACATTTTTATGATTCGAGAATCCGCAGAGATAATTAAATCCAACTGATGCTGAAACTGAATGGATTTAATAGGCAGGCCATAGTGATGATCTTTGACTATTAATGGATTACTAGACCGAAGATCATATAATAGGACCTTGAAGAATAAGAGACAAATTAAATTTATAACATTGTAAGACCATGAGGAAGTCATGCCCATCAGATCTTCACTAAACATTTAGCTAAACTTGAAATTTTACTTACATAGGCAGGATTTACATAAAATAAATAATTTTGAATTCTGAAAACAACTTATTAAGTGAGCCCAATTTATTCTAACTTGGTATTTTAACATCAGCATGCTTCCATCTAGAAAAATTAATGAATTTAAGACCTAATCATCTTTCTAAAGACTTCTTAATTTCTATTGAAAAAATAAACCTTTTTTTTTTTGTTTTCAATACTCTTAGTGTTTCATAATTAGTAATATTTTACTTTCAGATTCTTGTGTTGTTGCTAAATGATTTAAATTTTCAGACTTCCTTCCAGATTCAGTGAATATAACTTTCCCTCAGTGAAATACCACAGAATGAATTTTTTTATGTCAAGGAAAGTAGAGAGTACAGACCCTGTCTTCCAGAAACTTGTATTTTATCTCCAAAATTTTCTATGGAACTTAAGAAAGTTAAATCTTTCACATGTAAAGTGTGAATAACAATAATCTTTGGGAAAAATAATATTATCAGTTTATTTAATCAGAAACACCATCTGCAATAAAATTTGTCTGCCTTGTACACTAACATAGCAAATACAATTCTCACACATATATCTGTTCTTGAAGAAGCTACAGCTTTCTAAACCCATGAAAATACTGATGATGGCAGGAAACAATCCCCACACTTCCCTTTACAAATATGATGGCAACAACAAATGAATTTAAATTAGTCTTCATATCAAGATAAGACACTAAAAATAACAGTTGAAAGACAATTTCTGGTTTTCTAGACTTTAAGATGAAGGAGATCACATATGTTGCATTGAGATGGTACTCATAGCTCCAAAAAGCAGCAACTTCCCCACACACTTGACTCAAGTCATAAGTGAACTGCAAATTTGCAGTTGTAGAGTATGTAGGTTGTGATGATTTAAAGTGGTACCTACAAAATTCTGAAGAGTAAAAGCATTTGATAAAATTACATTGCAGTTTGACTATTACTACTCTATACCTGTAATTTATAGTCTAATAAATACTTGCAGTAATAGATATATACTGCAGTCAATGTATTGATAGACATGGATTGGGAATTTCAAGAGCAGGATCTCCTAAGAACTGTGGTACATGAAGTCAAATTTACCTGCCCAGTAGATGTTCCAACAGCCATATTCAAAGCCCCATCAAATTTCAGTGCTGAAATGGATGGCAAACCTTCTATCCTGCAAAGCACAATGCTTACAGTTAGGCATACTTTCAATAAAACCTGTAAATAATTTTTTAATGTTAAAAAATAGCTAAGCTAATTCTTAGCTAAGTAAAATAATTCACAGGTATCACTGAGAAATACTACTTCAAAAAGCTGCACTGTTTACATTCACAATGTGTATTTGTATACAAAAATAGCCACTACTTAGATCAGTGTCTAAGAGAACTCCTTTGTTACTAAGAAAATCCTTTATTCACACTAGCAATGACAAGAGAACAGGCAGGTCATTTTAAAGCAAAGTGGGATTTATTTCTAAAGCAACCAAAACTTCAGAAAAATCCAGTGAAAAGGAAGCCTTACTCACTCTGTGTCTGCTGTCACACTGCTTAATGCACAGTCCAACAGCCCAACTCGATTTCTAGTTCTAGGATCCCAGCATTCCACTTTTCCCTAAACAGTTTAGAAAATATGGTTCAAGCTTATGCAGCAGATACCTGGTAGTCTAAAAACATTTAAATAAAATTATGAATTATCTAATCTAAGGAATAATTAACAAAATTTCCTAGGTTGACATAAGTTGTTCTAATAATGACATACAGGGTGCACACATTTCATTTGTAGTTTTTTCAATGTAATCTAAATGAAAATCACTAACACTAATTTTCTTAAGATTAATAGCCAGCTAGTTTCTACAGATGGCTACACTGCAAAATGAGAGAACATTATTTTTGCTCCCATCTGCAAAATTTCAAGTGCTCAGCAACCAAGTAACTCCAATATTTTATCTGCACTAGGCTCTGAAAAGTCATCTTTAACATTATCTATATCTACCATAGCAAATGAGACCAATTAAATTAATTAGGTTCATGATTTCTTCTTTTCCTCCTGCAAATTAATTTCAAAATGCAACAAACACTACTGCCCTTTTCATAAAAGGAAGGCAAACATTTACCTCAGCCGTCCCCATAGCAAACAAGAAGTGGACAGGATTTATGTCACAGGCATTACTCTCTCTACAACAGAAAAAGGAGCAAGTTTAATGACCTCAGAACAATTTAACACATTAACAGCTAATAAGATTTCTGCAATCATGTACACTATTGTTCAGCCTGGAAAAGCAAAAATTGGAGGGAGGGAGGGACAAATGACAACAGCTTCTCATACTTAAGGGGAGCTTACTAAAAATCTGGAGGCAGAGACAGTGCTGATTACTTCAAACAGGTAAAGTTCCAACTGGGTGTAAGGATAATATTTCTATGCTGTAAGGATAATTAAGCACTGGAATGTGTTAATCATAGAGGCTGAGAAATTTCCATCTTTGGAATTTCCAAGACCCCTCTGAGAAAATTCACCTGAATTCATGAGACTGTGCCCTGAACAGGAGCCTGGGCTCTGAGTCTCTCTGCACTCCTCTGCCCATATCCAACACCTACGCAAGCCCTGCCACATCACTCTGCTCCACTGTATTCTTAAACAACTCAACAGGACTTGAAGAAATCACCTCAAGGTGTGCCAGGCTCAAATTGGATACCAGGAAAAATTTCTTCCCTGAAAGGGGCTGCCAAGCACTGGAACAGCCTGCCCAGGGTAAGTGGCTCAATCACCATCCCTGAGGATAATTAAAAGACATGTAGATGAGGCATTTGGGGACATGGTCTAGTGGTGGACTTGGCCACGTTGGGTTAATGGTTGGGCTTGATGATCTTACATGTCTTCCAATCTAAATGAATCTCTGATTCTAATTATGTCAAAAGATCCTTATGATTACTTATGTTCTAAAGCTTACATCTCCAGCATGTTCTGTCTGACTAATGGTCTCCTTTCTCTCACCCAAGTATTCTGTTTCTCAGTAGGGCACCCAAGAGCCCTGCATTGCGACAACAATTCTTCCAAAGTACAAATATTTCTTCCTTTCTACACTACCTATCCCAGCACTTTCCAACTTCTCCCATTCAAAGCTCTCTACCTCTAATTCTGTCACTCATCCAACTCCCTCACCTCAAAACCTTCCCACAACTTAAGTCTCATCTCTCTAATCCAGATTTTACTTTACACCCTTACCTCTCCCATGCCAGGATTTTCCCTTTTTTAAACTCCTGTTGCTCAGTTTTTTATTGTGCCTTCCCAAATACTTCTTCATCCGTTAAGCTATTTCTGCCCACCAGCTGTTGCCCACCAACAAGCCACTCTATCTACTGAAGTCTGTCTGCCTCTCCCCACATGAAAAAAGCTCAGTTCCTACTCTGGTAGGGTTTTCAAAAGAATCAGACACATGCTGGAGATATAAAAATTCTCTCTGGGCTACTTCAAGAGCAGAAGGACAAAGACATGTCTGGGAAAGTACATACCCTGTGGGTAGATCTCTATATGACGGCTAAATTGAGTAATAATGGCAAAGTTTTAATGAAATGCTCTTAAGATCAAGTTATATAATACCTATTTAGTCCATATTAAGCAATTTTAAAACATCCACAAAAGAAAATTCAATTAAACATAAAAACTAGAACAAAAAAATTACAGAACATAAAATGAAATGAGAGTCAGACTCAGCATATGCTCACTTTCAACTGTGCAAAGCATTTGGGCAGCTTTCAGTACTGGTGGTGAGCATGCTAGGAGTCTGCTTCCACCTGGTGGAAAGAAGAGAGGTCATGCATTACACAGAACTTACGAAGCTTCGGTTTGCAGGGAGTTCAGAAATCTTCCTTGTTCCAGATTCAGCCTGTACACTTCAGAACTACAAAAGAGAAACCCAAAATTACTCTTGTGTCTAACTAATACTGAAAAACACTGCTGTAAATTTGGAGGCATTGTAAAGATTCTTATTCACAGTCTAATTTCAAATATACAATTTTCAGAATTCACAATTTACAACAACACAAATAAATACTTTGGTGTTCAAAATACAGAGAAAAATGTGCATGTTCACCATTTATTTATTATACTTCAATATCCTACCAACTACTATTTTTCCAGGCAAAAGATACATTAACTCATTTCTCAAGACTTTTTAATTTCCTGTGATTTAAGTTACATCTTGAATTTCTACTTACTTTGCTTGAAACCCTAAGAATCTAATTTTATTTTTACCATGTCTTTTCAGAAACCCAATTATGTGATTTAACTCACACTTCACAGCAATAAAACACCAACCAGGATAGGAAGTTATTTAATTTTCCTTAAATGCTAAACACTTTTTAAAACAATACACTGACCTGCAGTTTTGAATACAAATTTGCAAATACATGATATACATGGTTTAAGAATAAAAAAACAGCTAAAAAATAGCATGGGAAACTGAACTAATTTTAATCTTCCCACATTTTCCACCCTTCACCATTTCCCTTATTATTTTGGAAGGAATTGTCACTTTTTCTGCTTTTTAGCTTCTCTAATATTTTAATGTTTATTTTATTATTGGAAAACACTGCTAACAAAACTGAAACAAAATAGTCCACTTAATACCTTGCTCCTACGAAATACAGGTCACATGATGGGTAGTGGTAAGAGAAATCTCTACCAAATTTTGGTATTCTTGTCTTGTAGTAATGGCCATGTTGTGAATGAAACTCCACAAATCTGCCACACTGCAAGAAGACAATCTGAAAATAAAATAGAAAGCACTGAAATATACAGAAACAGACAAGTGTCTCCCCAGCTTGTCTTTTAGCACAAACTTCAGTGATTTTTTTTTCAAACTCATAAAGGCTTATCACAACTTATTCTAACAATTTCTACTAAAATGACAGAATCAACTAGTGCTTCATCATTCTCACTAGCCACAGCAGAGTTTTGTTAATATACATTATATGAATATTCACAGGAGTAAATGAGACACCCTGAAAGTGACTGTGCAGTCATAAGCAGCACAGTTATTTCACACTCTGCTGCACCAAAATTAACATTTCTACTTCCTTCAAGACACTGCAGTTAGTGATTTCTTCCAGGTACAAAGCTGTGCAGACACCAGTACATTGACGTGGACTAGGCAGATGAGCTACACATCCTGATGCACAGCAGCATTCCAATAAATGACACCAGTGATCTTTCTACATTTTTGTTCTTTGCCAACTGAGTAAGAACATTGTTTCTTTCTGAAACTTAGACAAACATCTCACTCCTGGAAAAACCTACAGGGAGGCATTACTAGAGAGCTCAACCTACCCCAGTAAATAAAATGGGCCAGGTTCTGCTGTTACACTCCTTATGGCAGGTTAACATGGCACATACTCACAGGAAGGGATTCTTCCCCCCCTCCAGAGACGGGATCACCCCCATCACGTGCTGCACCTCAAACTATGGCACTGAGCAATGGAGGAACAGCTGGCCTGGCCCAAACTCATGCCATGCATGATAACCCCTGCCAAACCTTCGTCTCTGGCCTGATCCCTATTTAGCTTGGATTAGAGAAGTGATACTTTAGTTTAGCCTGTGCAGTACATGCATCTTCTAAAAACAATACATAGCAAATATCTAAAATTTTCTACTGCTGAATTACATAGCTAGCAATGCAAATAAGGATGAGAAACTCAGGGAAGTGAGGTGACTTTTAAGTTTAAAGTTAAGTTTAAAGTTTGAGTTTTATTTAAAGGTACTTTAAATCTGTCATCTTTATTTATAAATCTGTATAATTGTCTTACCGCTAATAATTTTCTATTTAAACACAAATTTCTATAATATTAGACTTGAATATATTAATGTTCTCTTCCATTAGTAGTGAATACAGCTCACTGTAAATTGTGTTTGTCATTTCTTCTTACTAAATTAAATTTGGGCACCACCAGAAAACTACAACTAACAGTAGCAAATGCATTGGCACTGGTGCGTGGCAAAAATATTATGTGGAAATACAGGTCTCCTGGCAAAAGGCTGTGGGAAAAAATACACTACACTCTCTTTCAAGCCTAAAATTTAGTCCAAGTCTAAGACTTTTAAACCTAAAACTTAGAAAAGCACAGAAATGTAACTGGCCTTTTCTTTCATACAGATTCATCCTCATCTGTATGAAAGAAAAAAGGTGCTCTCACTATGAAAATGCAAATAAGCCTCAAAGCAGCCTTAAAGGGATGGCAGGAACAGATTTGGAGAGACACTATTTTCCCTGGCTATGACAGGACGCTGAGAGCACCAAAAGGGCTACCAAGACTGACAAGGGACAGAATCTAGGACAAAAAAAATCTCTCTTTCCAATAGCAACAGTAAAAACTCAAGATTTTCCTGGGCAGGAGCTAAAAATTCTTTATGACAAAATAGAGCAGAATTGCAACAATTTATTCAGTAAATCTTTGGAACCACCATGCCTGTGGATTTTGACAGAACTGTTCAAGCATTAAAATGATATTTTAAAGACCCATTCCAATCTATACTTCTATGATTCTACAAATTTCAAGTGTAATTTCTCGAATATCATTCCCTCTTTCTAACATGTCCACAACACTATGACAGCCACTTGAAGTTTGTTTTTCTTTCTGATGATTTCTTAAGTTTTAGTAAAATAAAATTGAAAACATAAAGATTACATGAAGTTGAAAAAGTAGGGCTTCAGCCCGAAATATAGCACCCATTTCAGCTGAAAACACACACACCTTTCTGTTCATAACCAGTCAGAAACATTTGGGAAGACAGCATGTTCCTCAGTCTCCCAAATGACTATTTGGTATGTAGAGCCAGAAACATCTTCCACTAGACAGACAAGTGGGAAGCTACTGTGAAGTATCAGCCATTACCTTCTGCTACTTGAATTCATGCACTTCCTTGGAAATCTCACAGGAAAAATGCAAAAAAAGCTACAAGGCTAGATGATCGTGCCTCTGATCAAAGAGCAGTATTTATTAAAACAAACCTACACCTGAAACGGTAAGGTCTTTTCACAGAAAAAAAAGCGTAAAATAAACACTTGGGTGATTCCTTCAGGTACAGTACATCATTTAAAAATAAAACTAAAGAAAAAAGACATTACTTCTCTCCACAATTTCTGCTTCATATGCTCATCATCATGTCTATAACAACAATGACAAATCAGGTTGCTAACTTACTCATAGCTATCTCACCTTTCAAAAACAATGTATGTGTGCATCACTTGGCACAAGGGATTGTGACTAAATGTTAGCTCAGAAAGAACAGTTAATTCCATTTTTCACATTATTTTGCTTGTAGGATAGATCACTATTTGAGGCTTTTCTCTCCAACAGACAAAAGACTTTAAAAGTTGTAAAGTAAATTATAGTACAAAGACACAAATAAAACAAAATTTTAAAGGCGCAAAAATGTTTACCCTGTTTGCTGTTTTTAAAAAAACATTTTTCTTCCAAAAGCTGTGTTGATTGACTGCCTTTACTATATATGAAAATACATTTTGATATACATACTAAACAATTCTTTTATTTATACACTGAAAACTATTAAACATACCTTTGAGTAATCATCTGATAAAATCTCAAACGTAACCACTAGAAGAGAGAGCAAGAGAATTTTGAGTCAACTAAGCAAGCAGTTATTTGCAAACATTGGCATAATCCTGAAAACATTTAAACTCATGCTAATCTTTAGTCATGTAAGTATTCCCCACAGGTGTCAATGCATAATGCAGGCATTAATCTTTAGCAAGATCTCTAATTATGTAACTTGATTTGCAAAACAATAAGTAGTTTTCTAAAACTTTAGAAACATATGAAGCATCCTGTAATCTTTTTATTGTTCTTGTATACTTGACACATTCCTCAACACAATGCTCAACCACGGGTTTATCGGTGTGGGAAATGTCTAATCAAATGGGTTTCAGTAAGTGTGTGGTCCCTGGAGCTTGGTAATCCATCAAAGATGATAAAAAATTACAAGTTTGGACATATATGCATAAACTTACACATACAGTCCTTCCAAGGGGTAAACACTTTTACAAAAGAAGTTAAGGCTCAAAAAAAAATTACAAAAGTGAAAGCTACTACACGTGTTGAACACTACCATATTGAACTTTGCCTAGTTTTAATTGAGCTGAGTTGGGAACATTAGGGAGTAGCTGCTTCAGCTAAATTAGTTCTATTTAAATGAGATAACTCATTTAAAGTTACCTGAAGTGACTCTATGTTAGACTTCAAATTAAACATACTTCTGCAGTCTACCAAGATGCCAGTTCAAAAAAATTTACTTTAATTAGCAGCAAGCATTTATAATTACAATGACTTCTACTCTTTTAAAGAGGGTTTCACTCTTGCCATACCTTCCTCTCCCCAGCCTCTCTGAAACCCTGCCTAACACTGTTCCTTCACCCTACATGACTTCTTGTAGTCCTGAGACAGAGAGCACAAAAACACCTCCATGCTCTTATTACGATTTTTATTTGTTGCATCACTTTCACACACATCAAAGTTCAACCAGTTCAATTCTTCTGTAATGAATGTGCTCATCTGCTCATTGTTTTGGTCACCCCTACATCCCAGCTTTCAGTCATCAGTCTTCAAACAGAAAAACCTGAAATAACAACACTCCCACCGCCCCTGCACCCCCCCCCCCCACAAAAAAACCTCAAAAACCAACTAAACAAACAAAATAACCTTTTAATTACTGAAATTTAAGCACCCTAAAAGCTCAGAGCTGTAGCAGCTCCTGCCCTCCTCTAACTGCCAGATGATTCTCCCTTTCCCATTGTCTTGATGGCTCCCTATTTTCCTCACCATAGTTGTTCTCCCACCAAATTAGTAGCAAATAAGGTGCAATTAGGGCCTTGGCCATGCTACCATCTACCCTAAGTATTTGTTTCCAGAGAACAAACAGAAAACCAAACCAGCAAACAAACAAACCAACACCCCCCTCCCAGAAATTCTCTTTACTCTGTAACTCACCTACTGAGCTGGGCTCCAGAGAGAAAACACAGCAACCCACAGTGTGTTCTCCCACCTTAATGCTTCACAGAACAGGTAAGAAGGGAGACCTTGCCACCAGCCAGCCATTGAACCTTTGTCACATTCACCAAACAGAACACAGACTTCAGCCACATTCACTCTCTGAGCCCCAGACTTTCTGGCTCAAGGTAAATTTTACATCCCTCACTCCCTCTCTTCCAGGCAAGGAAAGAACTTTGAAATCAGAATAAAGGGGAAAATTCAGAGATGAAGACTAGATGGTTTTACTCTAGATTCCTGTGTTCCCCTGAAGTGCATTGTGTCTCCTCAGCACAGAGAGCAGAATTTCTGCTGGAGTCCAACCTGAATTATATGACAGACAGGTACTAACATGTACTATTATGTACCAACAGCCATGGCTTGTACTAACCTTCGGAATCTAAGCATCTTTCAAATTTCTGGGATAACTGATAGGTATCAAAACAGCGGACCCTGGGCTTGTAAGTTCCTGAAAGAGTAATTTCATGTTTGATTAAATAAGAGTTAAACAAAAAGATAATGCAAAAGCATTTTTTTCAAGTATAATGTCTTAGATATACAGGCTTTACTGTGTTTCTACTATAAGTCTTCTGAACTTCCCAGTCTCTATGACTGGAAGAACACACCTCTTAGTAACACAACCTTACAGCCTGGTTTCTGTAAGCACCCTACTAGTATGCAGGTTCTCCTAACAACCACATACATGGTACAGAATCTAGTAACACCTTCCAGTAAATCTGAAAGACCAAGGCTCTTTATGTTGTTAACACCTACTAAAGTACTCATGTTTGGATCCCATTTTGACAGCCACAAAATGCAGATTATCCTCTTCCTATAAAACAATACTCAAACAATGATGTTCAGAAGTTATTTAACATACATACACTAAAAGTAATTCAGAACTTAACATATAACTGTATTATAGATGGATTTGTTTTATTAATTTTTTATTTGTATTATAAACCCTGGCAGCAGGGGAGTTGGATTAGATGATCTTCAATAGTGCCTTCCAACCCAAATCATTCTAAGATTCTAATAATGTATGTATTCTAAAGAGAAGTGTTGCACAGCACCACTCAAGACAGCTGTTCTATCATGTTAAGAATATGCTTCCAGCAGAATGTTCATTTCCACACTTTAAAATGAACTCTTAACAATTCTACCTGAAACACTCAGTCACTGCACCCAAGATTACCTAGGACTTTTGGCCTCTGTTAGAGAGACTGTTTGTTAACTCACCAACTGCCATAATATACTGTCCATCTCTTGATACCTTAATCTTTGTGCTAATAGTGGGCATTTCAAAGTCTTGAATAAGTTCAATTCTTCTACGGATATCTGTAAAGAAAAAAAAATTGTAGAATTAGCACAATTCCATCAGTCTAAAAAATTGTAACAGTTTCCTAAGGAAGCACGTTGAGTTAATTGAGTACAGGGAATATTCTTTACAGATATTTTAAGTACCACATTATAAGCAGTTTAACACAGTCTGCTAACCCTGAGAAGCAGACTACCCCTACGAAAAAATAAATTAGAACTGCAAGGTAACTGCTTAACAAATCATTATACAACATAGTAGCAAATACTCATTGCACACTTTCACAATTAAGGTCTTGTATATAAGGTATTCCATACCCCATTACCTCTACCCATTTTTTTCTTGGTTAAGTTTCTTGTATAACACTTCCTGTGAATTCAAATAGCCTTTTTTATTTTGTGTAAGAAGCTCAGGCTAAAATGATGTAGTCCTGCTCCCTAAGATTAGCACAGCATCACAAAGAAGTTTATGGTCTGATTTTAATGTAAGGGACAAAATGGAATTCATCCATTATGTTTCTGTTACAATCCACAACCCAAATATTTAATGTCTAAAATTTAAAACACCACTGGTTATACAGCGTTCACGTGAAGCTATACGAGAAGTCAAAATAACTATCTGCAGTTTAATTCTGTAGTTTTTATGTTATGACTTAGGGATAACTTCTGTGTATCAGTCAGTGAGGAGTCTCCTCTGGGCCTGCACGTTATGTATGTGGAGTAGCCGAGTGCGAGGGGAAGACTCACCCACATCTTTCTTCTGTAAAGCTCTTTTCTTCCTGTCAGAGAGCCACTGCAAGCAAAGGCATACATCAGTCTTGAGCTCATTATTCATACAGGAACCCGAGAATCAAAGCTTATCCAACCATTTAAAACATAAGACATTTAGGCCGCTAATTCTTTTCTTTTTCTTGATTATCATACAATTTCCCTTCCACTGATAAATTTAACCATTCCACATCAAGAAAACGTACAAGGTCGTGCTGCTTACGGGTCTGTGGACCAGCACCGCCACAGCCAGAGGTTCATTCATTCAAACTGCATATCTACACTCATTTAACTGCATATCTAATGTAAGAAGCACTCAGAGCTGTTTCCCGGTAACGATCCCAACACAAGCGCACGTGGACCGGGGCAGCCCAGCCAGGCCGGGCCGGGGCTGGGCCCCCGCGCCGGCACCGCGCGGGTCCAGCTCCCGCCGCGGGACCCGGGCCGGGCCAGGTCCGTTCCCCACGCCGCCCTCACCTCCGGGAGGCTCCTGCCGGCGCTCAGGCTGTAGATCTTCACCTCATTGAGGCTGGAGACCTGCATGGCCGCAGCCGCGCCCGCCTCTTCCCGGGCAGAGAGGAAGCGGAAAGCGAGGCGCTTCCGCCGGCTCGGCCTCACCCGGCGGCGTGCGGGGCCCGGCGGGGAGAGCGGCCCGCCGCCGGGGCTCTGCCCCTGCCTCACACCGGGGAGAACGGGGGAAGCAGAGCAAACCCGCGGGACAGCGAGGTCCGCTGGCTCCGCAGCTCACAGCGAAGCAGCTCCGCTGCCGCCTCGTCCCTGGGCGCTGGCCGCTGTCCCGGCGCTGCCGGGAGTCGGGATGGGGGGAGAGGGCCGGAGCCGGGGCGGCCGTGAGCCCTCTCCGCAGGGCCCGGCCTGTGTCCGAACACAGAGAGCCTGTCTGTCCGTCAGGAGTGTCTCCGTCAGTCAGCTGTGGCATCATTCTCCATGGTCCTCATGTGAACTCAGGAATGCGGGAGTTCTTCCTGCAGCCTTGGTGGAGGAGGTTAATTTTCTCATCCCGTGGCAGACCGTGTCCCTTAGCCATGGAAAACAGTGAGTGCGGGATTTGCTGAGCAGAACCTTGACAGCAACCGTAAAAAGACACATTCTTATTACTTTGTAGCATCGCTGCTGAAAAAAGAAAAAAAGAAAACCCGTATGCAGAATTCCAACCATTCTTGTTCCAATTTACAGGATCAAAAACAAGGACTGAAATAATGTATATCCAGTTCATATGCGTGTTGAAGAAACAATGAAAATCGCAACTAAATTTTAACAATGCATATCTCTGGCACTGAAGCAAACTGAAGCAGTTCCAAATAATGCTGATACCAATACCACAACTAAAAAGAGCTCTGTTTGGGGCTGTATTACTGGGTGTTAGAGCTGAGGTTCCTGGGAGATGAGCACACCTAAATACAGGTACCTGTAAGTTTAAGCTAGGTGTTTAAGCTCCCATTTCAGAAAGCTAAGGCTGTACTTGCTTATATGTAGGTTGTCTAGTGACATCTGAGATGCCATAGGGCATCCAGGGCACCTGGACAGAGCTGACACAAGACTGATGGAAAATCCAAACCCTTCTGTAGTGTAATCTGCAGGCAGGATGTGCAGGGACATCTCTGGTGGCATTAGAAGCTCACACAGCTGAATCTCATCCCTGGTAAATTAAACCTGAGGAGTGTGATGCAGCGGCCACTGAATGTTTTCTGTGGGGTGAGTTTGATCAGGTGCCACAGTCTGATTAGAGCACCATGAACTGTTAATAGACATTTAAAGCTGAATTGCTGAATTCACTTGTCCACAATTCTGGGTATTGTAAGGAATCCCAGATATCCATGGGGGGTTGGTTAATGTGACTTGGAATGTGCAGCAGACCTGTGTTATCTTAGACCAGCATCTTGAAGGCACAAGAGGGTATTCCAGGGCACCTCAAGAGGCATTCAGCAGAGTCTGATGTCTGAACCTACAAAGAATTCCTAGAGGTCTAGAATGCTGAAGAGAGCAGCTTTCCTTCTAATATCAGTGTCATAATTGCCTAGGTAATTAATTCTGGTTATCTGTTGGAGAAAGTTGTCTTGGGATATACTTCAAGTGGGGTATTTCAATACCCTTAATCATTGTCTGAAGGCAGAGTTTTGCTCCCTTGCTGTGGCACCTGAAGAAGTACTCACAAATACTGAGAGAGGCAAAGCCACAGAAAAGTTCATTGCTTTGGTGGATCAAAGGGAGCAGAAAGACCCGTGATGATCATGAGGGAATTAGACAGCGCTGAGATCACATGGCACCACATGTGGGGCCAGCCAAGGAAATGAGCTGGCAGAGCTGTGTTACCACCAGCCTGCAGCACAATCCTGGTCCCACAGCATGTCTGCCTGCTCCTTCCCCTCCACCTTCACTGCTGCCTCATCCAGCCTAAAAATATGTAATGGGGTAAAAAGAAAAAAGTTTGAAAAGTCACAGTAAACTAAGAAAATATGATAACAGAAAACATTCAACAGGACATTGCTTAGATATTAACATCATTCTTGTCTCTTTTCTTGTTAGTTTTATTTTAAAACAAATAAGTAGCATAAAATATTTCACTTTAATAATAGTAAAAAAAGCTATACAAAGGGGGAAAAAATGGCATTCCTGCTATAAAAATGTTAAGGAATTAAGTACTGTATATTGTAGAATCCGGAAATCCAACAACCCTACAGCTTGGATTTTACTTTATTTGTTATAACAAGCATGTGTACAGAAAAATGTTCCTAAAATCTAGCACCACTGCAGCAAGAAACTTTTCTCATCTGTTAGCACTAGTTTCAACTTACATGATTCTAAATTTAAGGAGATTATGAGAATGTAGCATTTCTAAAATTAATTATGCAAAGCATTTCCACAGCTTGAGACTGCGACAAGAATCCAGTTAAAACTGTTCTTGGTTTGTGATGGGAAAGAACTGCCTTATCTAGGTGATCAGGTCTACTGTAACTTTCAGACCTGTAAGCTGTGGGTAACGATAGGTATGATGTAGATACTTAAACATCAGTTAAGTATGTTTTCATTATTAAAATGTATAGTTTAAAGAAACAAACAAAAAAGAAGGGTTAGAAAATAATTACTTCTTCTGTGAATGCCATCTCACAGATCAACATGTTCATTTTTTCCCATAACTTCTGGAAGACCCTTTGTCATGCCCTAGGGACACTATGATTGAAAAGAATTAGAATCATAGCTGTTATGAGAACTGAACATTTAATTAGGCTAGAAATGAAAAAAAAAAAACAACAAGCAAACAAAAAAATCCCTACAAAATGGTTATTTCAGCTACAAATCTTCTCAGTATCTTTTTCTGAATGCTTTCAGTAGAGACTCGCTTCCTCCACACATGAATTGCTTTTAATATATCACTGAAAATGTTAGAAGTAAAGGAAGATGAATCTTTGGCTAACCTAAAGAATCTATACATTTAGGGTCTAAGACCTTGACGTACATGTTAGCTACCTAAAGCATTATTTACATGGCATCATTCAGGATGCCTTACATCAGCTGCTTCTTCCTAGTGCTGACGACACTTAAATCTTTTAGGGGTCTTCATTTAAGGTTCTTGGAAGTGTCAAGAGCTTCTGTGCATGACCAGACCTGCCTGCCCCCAGCATCTCAAACCCTCTCAGTTTATGACAGATCATGTGGAAAACCAAGAGCATCCTTGTGTTTAATTTCCTGTAGGGGCTTCATTTGCAGAGAAACATGAGTTAAAAATACACAATTTTTGGAAGAAAATAAGCCCCCAGTAATAGCAGAGTTTGCCTAAGCATGATAAGTATTCCTAAGTATTAGACAGCTCAACTGGAAGATGAGAACTGGATAAACCCCAGTGAGGGGGCTTGACTCCCTCTTGCAGAGGTGCCTATCAGAGGCAGGTACCCAGCGTTTAGACACTTGTGACCTTCAGAGCATGTCTGGATTAGAAATGCCTGCAGAACATCATTCCACACCACCTGTGAAATACTCCCAATATCTTAACCAAGCTTAAGGCAACGTAAGACAAGCTCAAGAGTTGCTAAGGACTAAAAGCCACAGCTACACATGAAAGAAGAAGCATCACCAGGAACGTAACCATCTTTATTTTGCAGAGTCCACTACATATTTGTTAAATGAAGCACTTAGGGAAGTCCCGGAAACGACAGTTTCCTAGAAGTCTTTAATTATTCCGAGAGCTTCAGACTTGCTGAAGGTAGGCAGTGTTTAATAGAAACAAATGGCTTCTGCGTTGTTTGCGCCAGCAAATAGCGAGGAGATGCAAAGCTGCCCTAGTCAGAGCTGTGACAGAGCTTTCAGGGCACCAGGCGCAGCAGCGCCCTGTGCTCCGGGGGGAGCCCCGGCCCCCTTGCACCCACCCGTGGATGCGGCGGCCGCCTCGCTGCGCTCCGCCCCGACCCTGCCCGGCCGCCGCTCCGGGCACGGCCGCGCCGGGAGCCGCCGGGAGCGGTGCGGGCACGGGGAGCGGCAGGGCCGGGAGAGGCAGCGGGCAGGAGCGACAGGGCCAGGAGAGGCAGCGGGCAGGAGCGGCAGGGGCAGGTAAAGCGGCGGGCAGGAGAGGCAGCGGGCTGGTAAAGCAGCGGGCAGGTAAAGCGGCGTGCAGGAGAGGCAGCGGGCTGGTAAAGCGGCATGCAAGAGAGGCAGCGGGCTGGTAAAGCGGCGTGCAGGAGAGGCAGCGGGCAGGTAAAGCGGCGGGCAGGAGAGGCAGCGGGCAGGTAAAGCGGCGGGCAGGAGAGGCAGCGGGCAGGTAAAGCGGCGGGCAGGAGAGGCAGCGGGCAGGTAAAGCGGCGTGCAGGAGAGGCAGCGGGCAGGTAAAGCGGCGGGGAGGAGAGGCAGCGGGCAGTGCCCCGCGGAGCCCCGGCTCCCCTCACAGCCGGGCTGGCAGCGCTCGGGCACGGCGCGGGTGCCGAGAGGCGTGTGCCGCACCCGCCCTGTCCCGCACACCTGAGAGCAGGACGTGTGGCAGGGATGCTTCGCGGGAGCTCGGGAAGGAACGGAGGATTGCGGTGTGGTGCCAGCTGCTCGCTCTCCTGCCCTCATCTCTTTGCTTCGTGCCACAGTAGTTGTCCCTCTGTTTTCGCTACTGTTCCATCTGTGTGGCTCTGCCGATACTGTCCTTGTACGCCAGAGCTTGCCTTCCTGCAGCTCCTTCCTATCGAGCCTGGGAAGAAAAAACACAGAGGACAGCAATATTCTGTGCTGCCAGTGGCACCTTTTGCAGCCTCTGTGTTTAGCAGAGGTCTTGCTTTCATTTTTCCTTGCAAATGTCCAACAATTTGAGAGAGAATATTTATCAAGCGGAAATTCTTTATTACTTTTGGGTGGTTTGGTGAAGCCCCCAAGCTCCCCAACAGGCACTGAACTTAAAGCGCAAGGCAAACGGAACAGGCTGGGAGGGAAAAGGGGAGGAGGAAGCTTAATTTCTTCATGCAGAAACTGGATGGAACAATCCTGAGAAGGAAGGAACAGCCACAATCTTTCCGTGACATTCTGGAGAAGGTCATGTTCCATTTCAGCCTGAGATGCACAAC